ACAGCATAATTCCTCTTCCTTTTAACAACCCCATTCCATCCCTGACCCCTCTCCACCAAAGCTGCCAACTGCGTTCCACTGAGCTGGATTCTACTATATACATATATATATAAATAAACCAATAAATCCACGTCTCCACTCAAGCACTTGTGATAGACTGACTTCTCTCTCTCTCTAGCGTCTTGGTATACTTTCTAACAAACTTATCGACCAGTTGGATTTTGGCCGATATTTTATTAAGTGCTCATTAGTGGTAATTAAGTGAAGATGTGAATATACCACGTATAAAAGAGGAGGGGAGTAGGATTCCAAGTGGACATTGGGGAATCGACTTAGGGTTGATGAGAGCGATGGCTTTGCCCAAATTCCCCCCCCCCCCTCTTCAAATTCGATTCTCAAAATTCAGCGGGTTTGCTCATCGATTCCATTTGTCTTCGTGACAAAAACGTACATAATGGAAGAGAATTCTCTATCCAACTGGTGACTGTCTAAACAGGCGGAGTACTTAAAAAGTCTCCCTGACCGTTGGACATTGACGAGGTCGTAGAAAGAAAAGACTCAAAACATAAAATAAAACAACATTTTGGAGATCAGTTTTTAGATTCAGGCCAAGATAATTAGCAAAACCGTTTAAGCAGTATGTAAGCAAGAGCCATGAAGTGTTGTGGCTAAATGCTCTATTACTAATTTGAATCGTAATACTATTTCACTTTGAAATTTTACCGAGTTAATTTCACACTCAAAGACATAAATTGAACTCCGATTACTGTTTTAATCCGGCGGTAGTAAAGGTGAAAATGAATCGCAGGTTAGTTGAAGCTACATTCGAGCTGGATTCCTTTGTTAAAGCCCGCACATGCTACCTACTACTGAGCCTAAAACACCTCTAACGGCAACATTTGAAGAGAGCGCATAGGAGTTAGAATCAAGTTAGGCTTTGGGGGCTAACCTTTTATTCACCCAATCACCTTCTTACTAGGGAGGGGTTGTGTGATTTTCTTTTAATGCAGAGTTCGTTGTGTGTGTGTGTGTGCGTCTGTGCTCTACGGAGTGGCGTATGCGCTCTATTCAATGCAAACCCCCGTGATGTTACTTCTAAACGCGAATCTGCTAGAGCGCTGATTTAGGGAAGCAGTTGACTTCTGACTTCAAACTACCATCACTCCGCTGTATGTCATATTCGACTGCTTCCACGGTACTCGCCTCACCTTTTTACTGCTTTTGTGTCTGTCTCTTTTACATCTTTGAAACACTCCCCCCCCTCTCGATTTTTTCCACTTTGATGTTCCTCCTCCCTTCTCTGAATTCCGAAGTCAACTAAAGGGCTAATGATAACTATCAAAATGGTTGAAAATAAACTCAATTATTGGGGTAGATAGAGAGATCATATTTCAAGTCACAAACTGGAGTAACGGGGAAAAAGCTAGCAACAAGAACTGGAAGAATATTGATTGGCATTAATTGATTCTGTCCTTCCTATCACTATGGTGTTGGATTGATCACCCTCCAGTTGCATTTGGGATAATCGCTGTTGGCGGAATAATTTCAACAATCTGGACGCCAAGACAAAGAAGGCTTTCTCCACATTCGAGGCATTTTTGGCACTGGTTTCGAAGAACTCCATTCCATGCAATTTCGCGAATTCCTAACAAAAAATTAACGGCTCCTTTTTAGCCTATTAATACACTCAAAAATGCAGTTCTTCATTTTCATCTCGTTTGTCTGTGATCCTCCTTCCATTGCCTTTCTAGCTTGGCCTACCCATCCTCATTTTTGTGTCTGTTTATTCACGACTAGACACCACAACTACCAGAGCAGCTAATAGAAGCTAAAATAACAACCCTCGTAATCCAGAGGGCGCATCAATAAAATTGAATGCCTGCGCATTCGGTAAACACAGTGCAAGACGAGGTCAAACTAGAATGAAGGAGAGCACACTAGCACTCATTTTGGTCGACTCTCCATTGCTATTTACCGAACTTGAAGTTAACCGATTTCAACCTCTATCACTGTCATGGTGTGGCTAGTAGTGATAGTAGTAGTTGTTGTTGTTGTTGAAATTTTTTTCTCAAACCCAACGAAAGAGTGCATATTCTAGCACTCAATTACCGAGTTGTGAGTACTACTTTTGAACTATAAGATCCTGAAATTGGAAGCGCCAAGCCAATGCGTCAAAACTAGACAAAAGGTAGGTAAAATTGCAGGAAGAGCACCAAACTTACGGCGCCCTCTTCATATGTAATTTGCCGATGTTCTTCCAGATCAGACTTGTTTCCCACAAGAATTTTGATAACATCTGGACGGGCATGTCGTTTGATCTCCTCCAACCAAGTGCTCTCAATATTGCGGAAACTCTCCTGAAATAATGAATTAAATTAGGGGATAGATGAAAGAGGGAAGTAGATCTTCGAACAAGGGGTACGCTGAGGACCAATCGTATATAATCCCAACCATAAAAAGCGAATAGATCTGGCAACACATAAATTACTCATAAATAAGTGGCAATTAGTTAGTAGATAGAGAAATTTAAAAATCAAATCGGAAAATCAGCACGAACATTCAGCTTTACATCAAAGCAAAAACAGTCACCTCTTTTCCACAATGAACACATAATGAGGGAAGCAGATTAAATTGCAATCGATTAAAGAACTAATTTGAAATTATGAATAGTCAGGGGAACGCAATACTAATTAATGGAAATAACAAAGTAAAAGCTAGAAAAACGTCAAAGTTTATGATTAAAATCAAGCAAACGCTAACAATTTCGTTAACATTATTCAAGGAAATAGTAAAAGAATTTGAAATTTCTGATAGTGCGAAAGTATCGAAACAAGGGGAAGGATACGTAGTAAAGGCAAAAGCTATCCGAAAAGGTTCCTGGAATTTGGTCTTTAGATTCAACTTGTACGTCACTTAACTAAGGAATTTAATACACTGCTTCTAAGACAATCATTTCAATATTTAATTCTTACGAGAGCCAGTGTAAATACCAATCGACTAAACTAGACGGTATGCTAGTTTTAAAGCCGCAAAAAACTCCCATACGTTTGGGAATACATTTTCGGAGGAAGAAATAATTCTTTTGTAAACGAAACAACAAAATGTAACTAAAACAATAAATGTAAGAAGCTCATGGAAAAATTACTCGGGAGATACAAATAAAATTGAGAAAGCAAATCACCTTTGATGCAACATCATAAACCATTATAATCCCATGAGCCCCGCGATAATAAGCCACTGTCATCGTACGGAAGCGCTCTTGACCTGCGGTATCCCATATTTGTAATTTTATATGATGCCCGTCCAAATCGACTGTACGAATTTTCTAAATGACAAGTCTGTATAAGAAAATTGAAAGACCTACGAAATCGACTCCAATAGTGCTGCTAAAATTCTCATAGTAAGTGTCATCCTTTAAGCATAAAAGTTAATTAATTCACTTACAGTGAAACGCACAAGAAGACACGATTTGCCCACTCCAGAATCGCCGATCAGCAATAATTTAAAAATGTAATCACTAAAATGTATGAAAAACAAATCTTTACCTACTGTTCAACAATACTCGACTGGGCCATTTGCGGGAATTCAGGTTTGTAACGACTCTAGGCTAGATTGGACCTCAAACGTTTGACCTTATTTTGACAACTATTTTGGGTTCAAAAGTCCAATTGTTTAAAATAAATAATTTAAATTATTTTTTATTTACTAATCATAAACCATATTTAGTTTGGTCAACAGTACTATTCATAAAATGACAATTAATCCTTACTTCATACTTCAAAACTTGCAAATTGACACAGGAGAATATTTAATATTATTTTATTTCGTTTAAGGTCCTCCCGTAAGGTTTTAGTTAATATTATGGTAAAATAATGTGCTTATACAAAGAAGTAGAGAAATTTAAAGTCAATTGTTGTATTGAAGAATAAAACCAAAAAACTCTCTATCCGTATATTTTCGTTTAATTCTTATACTGGTGAATATAGAAACCAACCGACTTATGTAAATCAGTTTATTGAGTACCGCTGACGAGACTGACTATATGTAAAATGCTGTTTTATTATAGAATTCGCTACTTTTTGATAAACATTTTGTCACTAAATTCATGAAGGCACACGTAGTAACTTTATGCATTTTGAAAATGCTTTGTCGAACACAATACTACTTAAGAGTTAAATAGTTATGGAACAAGAGAGTTTTGGATTTGAATTAACTGTGATTGCTGTGTAGCTTCAGATCAAATTTAGTAGTGGTGTGGGTGCCGGAGCCATTGGGAATACTCAAAGAATCCATATTATGGTAATGCGCTTTGGGCAGACGAAGTATTTACAGAGTCGAATCAAACTGACTCTATGGATGAACGGTTCCGTCATTCAATGTTAACGCCCATCTACATTAATTTGATAAGATTTTAGGTTTACCAAAGAGTTTCACTTGTTAAAGCAGAAATCTGAACTATTTTTGCATCGATAGGAACTGAGGAGCTAGTGAGTGAATTAAACTTGGCATAATAAATTGGAGAATTTGAAGTCAATTAAGTTTGTTATATCTTAATGCTAGTATTAATATTCTGTAATTTCGTTCATGCAATATAATAGGAATTCACAATAACGTGTTTTTGTGAAAATCTAAATGACAAAACCAGTTAAATAGGTTGTAGCTGCTGCGATTATTTGAATTAAATACCTTACCCTGCATGGACACTTAGACTCATAGAGACAAGGTGGATGATATTTTCAAGTTAGTTTTGTAATGTTATAACTAATAAATTGAAGTATGTCTGTTATTTTAACGTTTAAAAAGAAACTGTAACGGAAAGAAACTAAAATTAACAATTGCTTAGTCTACTTATTCGATCCAAATCAAATTAAGACTAGAACATCGGAAATTCGAAGTAATTTCATACTCGGGGATTTTGACACAGACCGTTGAGGTTTCATCAAGGCTCAATTGTGTGTGTGTGTGTGTCGCATGCAAATTTAAGCCTGAGCTGAGTGTGGAAATTCAGGTTTGTAGATAAAATCAATGATTAATGATTCTCTAGGTTTGCGCCTTTCGCGAGACCGTTAAGCCACTTCATTATTAAGTATCAGAGGCGGAGATAAATCAAGTCCCAATGGAAACAGTCAATTTGAAAAAAGTACCTGCTTTTGTCTCTGGATTTAAAATGATTAGCCCTACTTTATACCAGCCAGTATTCACAACGAATTTGTTCTAATAAATCTTGAAAATTCCTGTTCCTGCCATTTCAAAGCCACCTAACCATGGTTAATGGGGAGAAAAGAGGATATTTCATGGAGCATCCCTTAATAGTAATTACACAAGTAAGGCCACGAAGGTCAAATTAGGAACTCTGACAATTTAAACAAAAGTTACTGAAAATAGCACTTCGAATTATTGCAAAATTGACAATCGATTCTAATTACTTGTCCTCTTCGCTTTAGAGCTATTTAACACTATTAATGAGCTATTGCTTTTACTACACCCCCCCCCCCACTCATGATAAATCATTCAGTACCCTCTTATATGATAGTTATTCCATAAGTGAATCGAACAACGAAACAAAAGAGCTAACGAACTCATCAGAAAACGCATTAGGAGAAAAAACCTTGTCCCCTCAGTGGTGACAAAACTAAACAGTGTGAATTTGATGACTTGCTCCCTTTCACACTAATTCGAATTTGAATTGAGGTATACTATGAAAATTAGACTGGGTACAAAGTTACTCATTTACGGAGGCCTCAAAGAGCTGATAATTCAGTGTAGAGGTAACTTACATATATTTTGGCTTCACATCTCGCTCTTCCACCCAGCTCAAAACCTGATTGGCCATTGAGAGGTGCGGCGCCATTGGCTCGCTAAACTTAGCGGCCGCGAGTATATCGTCAGATTAAATTCCTCGGCAAATTTTTTCACTCTATTCCATACCAAATATGCAGGTTTCACCAAATAATAACAATCCAATTGTTACCAATAACCAGGTTCACATCTTAGAATACCGAGGAGCCCAGTTAGCGGCTTTCAATGTGGAAGGTCGTGGTCTTCTAATTTGTCTGCCTCAGGCATTCGAATTATTTTTGAAACACTTTGTTGGTGGTCTTCACACCGTCTACACGAAGCTCAAGAGGTTGGACATTCAACCAGTTGTTTGCAATGTGGAACAGGTTCGAATTCTACGTGGGCTGGGAGCGATTCAGCCTGGCGTGAATCGTTGCAAGCTTATTGCTCCGAGGGAATTCGACATTCTTTATGCCGATTGTACGACTTCAAGGTGAGTTAAAGACGTATTTTAGAGCTTTTCTCATATGAAAATAATAATAATTTACAAGCCTGATAACACTAACTATTCTTGGCGGTGGTAATAAGATCGATGATCATATTTTTGTACTGAGAATGGGCATTAAAGATATCGATTTAAAGAATATTAACTTAAACGATCAGATGATTTAAGCTATTTCAATTTATAGATATATACAAATGTATTATAAATAACGAACGATCAGTTTCAGATCTATTTTTCAAAGGAAGAAAATTTCCTTCAATGTCATCTCTATAGAGCACGTTCATTACTTCTATAAATAAGTATTGCAAACAGCTTAATTTATGGCAAATAATTAAATACTTTGGCATTTCCTGATTTAGAGTATTTTTGCGATTTTGATTAGCATAAAATACTGGAATATGAAAACCGTGATTCTCGTAAAAAGGAGGACATTTTACCCATTAAAAGAGATGATTCCAAGAGAGAGGTGGGGGTACTTTGACACTTATTTATTGAAAGAGTAAGAATGAAAATTAGTGAAAAGAGCATCGATTTTCCGATATTTATTAAGTTTGCTATGCAGTAAATGAAATTGTAGAGTGGCAATGCATATCGGCTTAATCAAAGATTATTGGTAGATTAATAGATTGCAGCAAATTTGATTTGTTTTAAGAATACCGCAAATTTAAACGGCTTTAATACATCAGATTGAATTTACTCTCTATAAGAACTAAAAATAAGACCCGCTTTAACTGTTGTAAATGGAAATTACAATAAATATTAATTTTCGAATAATTGTCAACTTTGAAATATTTCTTTAATTGACATATAAAATACATTCTTCGCATATAGCGTCAGGAGTAGTTCATTAGCTCATTTTAGTGCCTGTCCTTCAATAAATAAATTACTGTTAGCCAAGAGTACCCTTTTTAGTCGCAAAGACTTCGGAGTTGGTTATGCATTTGATAATCTCCAACTCAGAGGGGGGGGGGAGGGATTTAAGAAATGACTTCTATATAGACGGGGAATTAGTCGTTCGTCTCCTCCCACCTCCCCCCCCCCTCCAAATCTCCCATAACTCGGGCATTAAACACTTAATGACTGAAGACTTAATTAGTATTTTGAGTTGGCAATCATGAATGAATTTAAACAACAAAAGCCAGTTTTGAAGGAGTTGGGGGGGAGGGGGGTTGGGGGGGGAGAGGGATGGGGGTGAGGAGAGATTTGGTGCAGATAATTTAAACAATCCTTCTACTGACAGGCGCAAGCATTTGAATAGAAGGTGCTGGATACTGACTAGATTGCATTTGTAATCCTACCGGATTAAGACTTTCTCGACTTAATTAGAATTGCTTTCACCAAGTTGGGTGGGAGGGGGTATGAAGATAAATTCAAAATTTAAAGGGAATTAGAGTTTGACTTGGCGCCCTCTGTGTTCTCTGCATGGAAATATTTAGATATTGGACGAATCATGAGAGTCTTTCACGCTGGGAACATTACGCCTCTGAAGTCACTACATTTCAACAGATAAGGATCATTTCAGTATCCTGCATTCATCCAAAGAGCTTCCAGAACATGGGCGTTTCAAGGTGGAGAAAATAAATCTCCACTTTGTATTGAAGAACTTCCCTTCTCTTGCCTTCTTTATTTTCGATACAGTATTTAAAGACAATCGTCAAATGTCCTTCAAAATAGAAAAATAGCGCTTTGATATTTAAAGGAGTTGATGGGAATGTCCATTTCAACCCAAGGTCACATCAGGCGAAATTTCTATCCCACTGGTAGGGGAAAAGAATAATAGTTATAACACTTATTTACAACTCACTTTAGTAAACCCTAATATTTTCTGAGATAAAACTTTTATTCTCGATTATCACCATCTTTGCAAAGTTTCGACTAATAAAATTTAAACATTTTTGCGATAAAAAGCTTTGAAACCTACTTTCTTTTGCATATTAAATTACATCAACAATGCCTAGAGCATCAATCAATAATATACGTTACGCCCTTCAGTTATGAAAGTCTCTTCAGCTTAAGAAAGGGAGTGATCGAAGTTGAAACGAGAGATTTTAGATATATTTATTTATATCAAATGCTAGGCTTTATGATAGTTATCATTAGTCCTTTAGTTGACTTCAGGCTTCACAGAGGGAGTGGAACATCAAATCGAAAAAAATCGATAGGGGGAGGGGAACAGAAGAGTGTTTTAAAGATGTAGAAGAGACATGCACAAAGGTAGATGAAAGGTGAGGTGAGTACTGCGAAAGTGGTCGAATATAACATACAGTGCGGTCATGGTAGATTCGAGTGAGAAGTCAACTGCCGATTAATAGACTTTTTTTACCGCATGAGTATACGTTGCCCAGGGAGCACCACGTGGACGTAAGTCTATCGCACACCCCGATTTTCGATATACACAATTATAGTTTCCAATACGATTATCCAGATTAACTTCACTGAGATTGGATTCTAAATAGGCAAAATTTAATGATATAGAAACTCTTATTGGAATATTTACAACAAAGATCTTTCAGATTTCATTTTGGTGGTTCAAAATTTCCACTGCAAATTTTCGCGTGACACCTTTATGAGATTTTGAATTAACAAATCGAGGCCCATTTAAAATTCCCAATGGTACAAATTATCTTAAAGCCTAAACAATGATGAAATAAAAAAATTAAATTAGAAAATCTCGTGAATCAATTAATCCCAACTGCCCCCCTCCCCTCCTCAACCCCACCCCAACAGAGACTGATAGTGTAACAAAAAATGCAATTAAAGATGGCGACGCAGTAGTTATCGGCAATTTCGGTTAGAATTAGTTCTGCGGGGGCAATCGAAATGCTTGAATTTTCAGCCGCCAATTTCTCCCTTTACAGGCACTCGACCGCGGATGAAATAATCAAACCTCCCTTCACCCCCCACCCCCACTCCCAGATTGTCTATCAGAGATTGCAACATGAAATTATTTCGGAAAGCCACCTTCCGTTTGGATAGAAATGTTGCATATTGCTTTGTCCTGTTTAATCAGGGATAAGACAATGAGTTACCAACTTCCATTTGTTTCATTGTCGGAAGTGGAAACATTTTCTAATAGATCGCGAAGTAAATAAACTAGTAATTAATTGCATGATTAATTCAGGGTTTGCATTCATTATATTATGCATTGAAAGTCCAAGTGAAATTTTGAAGTTGACTCCAAACTTGTTCTCTGCATCCACTTAGAAACTAATCATAATGAATAGTAAATAATAAAATATATGAAAATTTGGAACTTTTTACTGACACATTTTGAAAAAAAACAAGATTGTAAAATTGATTAAATGATGCCATTTGCAATAAGGCAAAATTTTAGTAAAAAAAATTGACCATTGGTTTATGTCAATTCTATTTGGGCGATAGTAGAGTCTGACAGGAATTAGACTATCCTAAGAGCTTAGATTCGAAACCTGGGTTGCTTGGCCTTAAACTACCGCAAACGCCCTCCTCCACATATTCTTACCTCGTCACATGTGCTGTAAATGGCTTTGGCATACTACAATTAAAACTGTCTTGGCGCTGAGTGGACGCTTTCCACCTAGCATTCTTGATTCCTACAAATGTCGATTTTCAAATGGCAGACCTTATGATATCTTTCATTAGCCCTTCAGTTGACTTCAGCTTCCCCCAAGGATGGGGGGTACATATATAGCAGTTAATTAATAGCAGTTCATTAGCCGTCTTTTTGCTTTCCAGTATCTCTGGATTTCCGTCGTTGTCTTTAGGGCTGGACACCGAATCAGATGGGTCTACTCCATTTCCTCCTGTAGATTACATAGGGGGCATGTGGGTTGAGTGTATACCCCCAATCTGTGAAGGTTTTCTGCCAGGCATTCGTGTCCGATACGTAGTCTAAACGCAACAACGGCTTCGAATCTTGGCCAGTCGGCTATGTTGGAGAGTGCCACTGTCCACTGTTTCTCCTTTGTTTGAGCTTTGAGTTCGTTGCACCTTGAGGTCTTGAATTCTCTCCTGATTAAGGCCTTTTTTTGTGTGGAAAGACATTGGCCGGTCCATGCATTGCAAAATCTTTGTTCCCTTCTTATCAAGTGTGTCAGCAAGCTCATTGCCTTTAATGCCACAGTGACCAGGAATCCACTGTAGGACCACTGTTTTGTTTCTCTCTCAGCAGCTGATACAGTCTTTTACATTCGTATATCTCAGCTGTTTTGGTTGGCTCTCTGTTTTGATTCCTACAAATGTCAATTTTCATCGCGAGACCCACTAGAACCCAGGATACTTAGACGTCAAGAAAATTCAAATCACAATTTTCCAAGAACGATTTCGTTTGTAATAATTGAAACGATCTATGTAGCGATTTTATTAAAATGTTTTGATTTTTCTCTTAATTATAAGCGAAAAATCTTATTTCAAAATAAATTTTACAAAGCACTGAATAAACGTTCTAGGGGGAAGGTCTAACCACCTTCGAAAGCTTCTTTTACTTTCACGATTATCCGGACAAATGTTCTCTAACTTATTTGCACTTCACAAACTTGGCCATATTTTGAAACAAATGAAATCTCTTTTAACTTTTCCTCAATAATAGTATCATCGATTATTTATATCAAATAGTAGGCGTCTTGAGAGTTATCATTAACCCTTTAGCTGACTTCGGGCTTCATAGGAGGGGGTAGGTGGGGAGGGGGGGGGGAACACGACCACAAA